ATGCAGGTGAGAGCAGACAGGATCGGCACTACACGCTATAGGCTGAGGCAAGTACACAATAATATAGGATATGCTGCGTTTGTTTTTTATTTTAAGAGGTTTACAACCACTTTAGGGGTCCTTACCCCAAACTCATAAATGCATACCTAGGTGGGAATAAAGCCTAATGGTTTTAAAGTTGCTTTTCCAAAAAGAATGTAGCTAAAAAAAAAAATAAAAATCACAACTGTCAAACAGTCAGAAGTCCACGTGTGAATGTTTTTTAGGTCAGTGACTCCAAGGTATTGAAAAAGGAGTCACAGCAATAAGCGGTTCTGCAGACTTGTGGCCTTACCACCTTCCACCTTCCACAGGTGCTATGATCATACAAGGTCTATCTTCCCCCCCCAGTTTCCAAGTACACAGTAGAGTAAGCTGAATCACTGCCAAATTATTTTTTATGTTTTACTTTCAATAGACTTTATTGCACCATTTACTGTTCATTACATGTTACATATATTATCCTCCAGATCCTGCTCCTTCCCTTCACGATCACTTTTTACCCCAGAAAGGGCTAACTCATTGAGCTGAGTAGCTGGTGTAGGTGGAAGTATTTATATATGTTTGTTAACTAAAATTCCAACACTTAAAAAGACGTGGCATGATCATCTGATGGCTTCTTGATGACAGCAATAGTGTCCATGTTCTTGTCCTTTCTAACCTTTAAACCTGTACAATACTTCCCCTAAAACCAATACAATTAAAGTCAAAACCAATAGTGTTGATGGCAAGAATGATAATCAAAGAGCCATAGTACAGATTAATAGGGTGTGTTTAAAAAAAAAAAAAAAAAAAAGCAATAATTCCCCACCTCTATGACTAAGCCCTTTCTGGGGTTCAACATTTGAGAATAGCAGGGTAAAAATTAAGATCTAGCAGACAGATTTGTTTGTGATGTGTAATTCATTACAAACAGTACAGTATAATTTATTGAAAGAAATAAAAGGCAGAGATGTGGCTTTCTCTCATGTGGCATTCAAAAATGTTGGCTTGCCTGGGAGCTAGCAATTTGTGCAACTTTATGGCAAGTTTCTTAAAGTGTAAATTCACCTTTACAAAAGAAAATTAAACCGTGAACACCCAGTCACCCCCCCCCCCCCCCATATCTCCACTGTACTTGCCTCCGTGTGATGATCTGTTAATACCCTTTCAGCAGATGCAGCTTTTCAGGGATTTGAAACACTTCAAGGATGGATCCAAATGATTCTCTGTGCCAGTGCTGACCAATCAGAATTGCTCTGATCCATCCTGGAAGCCTTGCAGTAAGAACTGGGAAGAGGACCAAAGACTTCAGTTCCCCAAACCACTGCACCTGTTGCTTGGGCTTCAGCAGCTCATTACCGACAAAAGTAATCAGGGATCTGGGGGTGAAGAGGCTGTCCGGGGTTCGCGTTTTTATTTTTTCTCTAAAGGGGAACTTATCCTATAAGGTAAATGGATCTCGGCTGTTTTGACCTTTCAGGGTCAGGCAGGTACTTCTATGTATGTTTATGCAAAGAAATCCTACAGTTGACTAACTTTTTGCACACCATCTTATCCTGTTTAAAATGGATTCTGTAGCAAGAGAGCCAGAATCCAAAGAACAGAGGTATACCGCTCAGGCAAACAATCCAGATCAATTCTACGACAGGTGCAGGCTCTGGCTCACCACCACACACTATGCAACAGGAAGAAGGGTCAACCGCACACCGGAGGATGGATGAATATTGTGTGTATTTATTGATCCATAGGACACACAAAACACCAGGACATAAATACAGGACCTGTTAACACGTTTCACAAGATCTCCTGCTTAATCATAACAAATAAAACAACAAAAAGTGCTGTCTTATATAATCATTAGTTAATAGAGAACATCTGCCCTAATCAGCACTCCTGAATCATGAGGATACGCCTACTAGTACATTGTAACAAAACATAAAACCATTGTATCAAAAACAGTGATCTCCGTGAATAACAAGAAAGGAGGAAAAGAAAAAAAAGCAAAGGGGAATAAAAAGAGAAAGAAAGAGAAAAATAATTCTGAAAAAATTATAAATGAAAAGTTGAATGAAAAATGAAATAACATACACAAACACAGATAAAAGCGAGTAAATATCCCAAGAAGATATAGACTAAAAAGCCAGAAAAGGACAGAGAAAAGCCAAAACTCCTGGTCAGACATTGTGGGACAGCTTTTAGAGAGAGGGGTATAGTCAGTGATGCTCCTTATTAATTAAGGTGGTTGCCAACCACTGCTTGGGAAAAAAAAAAATCAGTATCTGTAAGTCTGGCAGAAGATCACTCTTTCTGTTGAACGAAAACAGCATTTTTTTGTACATCTTAGTAACCCCTTAAAAAATGCAGATCAAGAAGTACTTTTGGTTTTTCACGGAAAAAAAGAAAATTGAACACTGAATAGTAATACAGGGCTGTTGAAATCAAAAACCTTTACCATATGCAATTAGAAAAGTGAGTGTTCTAAAAGTGATAATTTCCTTCTCAGTTCTCCTGACATAATAATTTTATGATCCTTATTATCAAGGACGCCGAATTAAGATTATAAAGGCAAGCAATTTGCCGTATTGAAGCAAGCTATTCACTGTAATCGTTCTGTTATAAAACTTTATAAACCACAAAGAATTATCTTGTTAATATAATAAGTGTGTAAATGAAAATTTTTAAAGAAAGGATTACCGTTCTTTTTCCACAAGTCTTCATACGTTTATTTGTGCATTCTAAGGCTGGCTCAGTCCAGACCTCAGCATATACATGGCAACTTTGGCACTCTGTAGTGATGGTGCTTCATTATGTGTTCAATATTTCTCAAAGGAGCTTACAGTCTAGTGTCTCTAGTTGCTGTAATGATAGCATTGAGTATATGAATTCATTTTTCATATTATATGAAAGTAGAAGTCCATTCAATCACTAACTATACTTTAACCTTCTCCCACCCCCATTCTAAGCCTATTATAAATACCCTGCGAAAGAAAAGATCTGTAAACTTCCCTATGCTAAGGGTGCTCCCATCTGATCACATGATTTCTCCAGTGGCGGCTTCAATGGAGAGGAGAGATCGCCGACAACAGTTGCAGAGCCTGAGTGGTGACATTACCATAGTCTTACTATGGAGCATCCATTGTAGGTTGTCCCTCCTTCTACACTGAAGTTGGCACTGGGAGCCGATCATGCGACCGAAGCAGAGTGCCTTCAGAATAGGTAAGCATAGACATCTTTCCTATCACAATATAGTTAGAATAGACTTAGAGTGGGGGTGGGAGCAGGTTTAAGTATAGTTAGGATTTGACTGGACTTACACTTGAATTAAATTATAGGTTTCTCCACATTTTATATGCAGACCAAGCGTTCCAGCAAAAGCGATACTTACAGTGGTTGGAAACCAACAATATAACCTAGCTGGGGTGCTTGCTCCATGTTTTTTCTAAAAGCAAATATAAAGTTGCTATAAGGGCTCGTGTACCCTTGTGTTTGGGGTGGGCAGTAAAAACACACAGCAGGAATTAAGGTCAGATTCACGCAGGAACGGAGAGCTACTGCTCCACCAGCTGTCCATTCCCGGCTGCAGTTGAGGGCAGTGTGGTGTGTGATTCAGAGCATCACACGGCTCCCTTTTTATTTATTTATTTTGGACAAACTATTTGAGGTGTATGAAACGTACACTTCATTCATGGCAATGTACAGCAGCTCAATGCCCTGCCGAATACAGTGCCATGTAATTCTGTACAGTGAGCCGTGATAAGATGCAGCTTATCTGCATTTCCTAGACGACATTGTCTTAGATTGTAAGCTCCAAGGATCAGGGCCCTCCTAACCCTCTTGTATTGAACTGTATTGTTGCTGTATTGTCTCCCGTTATATTGTAAAGCGCTGAGCAAACTGTTGGCGCAATATAAATCCTGTATAATAATAATAATTGTCGCATGAATGGGACACCCAGGAAACAACTGTTTTCTGTATCCTTGCATTGACAGATGTTTTGCAGTGCAGTAGAACATCTGTCACCACACACTGTGCGAATTATTATTATTATACAGGATTTATATAGTATCAACAGTTTACGCGGCGCTTTACAAAATGAACTAACTCTAAACCCCCTGTTATTTTTACTGGGCACTATAGCCTGCCAAATGTGGCCCATTCAGGTGAATGGGACTGCGATGTGACTGTCCTGAAACCGCGTGCATTGCACCATTCAAGTAAATGGGGCTGCGCTGCAATTATCCCACAACTGTGCTCTATGAATGTGATTGTGGTGCAGCATTTGGGGGGTTAAAGCACGCAGGGAGAAAGTGACATCACCTTCTCATCTCCTGTCAAATTTCTCTGAAAAGTGGTCTGAGTGCAAATCATTTTTCAGAGGTGCAGCAGACCTTGCCACATGTGTAAACATGCCCTAAGAGTGGAGGTGTCTGGTCGGTACAGGTTGGAGAAAATCTGTTCCTTTCAGTAGCATTTATCAAACATTGAAGTTTGATATGTTACGTGTGCTGTGAAGGACCTCATTCAGTTGACTTGAATGGCATCATGCAGGACCCTATTTTTCACCTTAAAATAACTCATTGCAATGGATCCTGAAAACTTCTAACATTGCTTTTGGTTTAATAGGGATTCATTGAAGACTTTCACATAAAAATGTATTTTGCTTGTGCTGACATATGCGTAGCAGGAGTGACTATCTCATGTAGTGTAGAGAAGGTTGTTTGTTTTCACCATCATTGCGTGTGGCAGTGCTCTAATCTGCTCCCTACGCTAAATGCTGCTGTGTTAATGGTTTCTATTATTTGTAGCTTATGGCCTTAAAGCATTTAAATGCTAAAATATTTTTTATTGTTTATGTTGCTTATTAAAACTTGTGACTACTCCAGATAATTGTTACCTGTATGTGTGTGTATGTTACAGTGGCAGGTGGCTTCCCAACAATGGCCAACTCTCATGTTGTTCTTCTCTCTTTCAAGCATCAAGGCTCCACTGAAGTGTCTCGCACTATCCTTGTCCAAGTGGCCGAGTCTGCTTACAGATTTGCTCTTGGCTCAATTGCTGGAGGTTAGTCATGGTTGACTGTAGTCATTTTATCTCCATTATCACATCCACCCCCTCCCTTTACCATGTCTTCTTGTACAATGCCCTCCCTGTGTATTCCCACAAGAGTTTTCCTTCATGGATCATTGACCCGTGTGCACAAAGCCATTGTACTGTTGTACATCGAAGGGTTATGAGTTGTACCTGGGGGCTCGTCTTGCTCAAAACAACTTTATAAAGTTAATAAGCAGAGACTGACTTAGTGATCTGCTTTAATAAAGTCTTTGACAAGCCTTTAATGTAACCTCATTAAGTTTATGAAAAGTAGGCAGCCGTAGGTACACGTGCACTTGAAATAATTGTCTCTTGTAACTGTTTCATAACATAACTTTTTTTTTTTTCTTTTTTCTCGTTACCCCTTTTTCTCTAAACAGCTGTTGGTGCTACTGCGGTGTACCCCATTGATTTAGTAAAAACAAGGATGCAAAACCAGCGATCAACTGGATCCTTCGTAGGAGAGTTAATGTACAAGAACAGCTTTGATTGTTTTAAAAAAGTGTTACGCTATGAAGGATTCTTTGGACTTTATAGAGGTCAGTTAACTACCTTGCTTCCATGTTCGATTGCTTTTATTTTTTATGTCATTTTTTTATGAACAAGAGAACATAAGCCAACATACAGTTTTTGGAATTTAAAGCTGAACTCTAGGCTTTCCCCCCTCGCATCCCAACAAATCTCTGGCATACAAAGAAGAAAAAGATACTTAAATGCCCCTTTTACTTGCCTAAATCTGCAGTCATGTGCCATTCAAGCCCCTCATTTTTTCTACTACCGTGCACAGGAAGTGGGGTCCTTTTTCTGGTGTCCATGCAACCCCCGCATGATGTGGACTCTTCCTAATGGCTGGCCTGCAGCAGGGTTTTCTCAGGTTTCAGAAAAGGGAACTGATCAGGATAAGCACATCTGCCACACCGAATTACTGATCCCTTATGGTATTTAAAGTGACTGTAAATCCACACCTTGTAAAACAACCTATTCAGTTTAAAATAGGAATTAAATGTAAAACATTAGCGTATACATATAAAAATAACATTGTAAATGTGGTCACATACCTTCTGTTGTCAGCTGCAAAAGAGCTAGGGAGAGGAGAAACAGCAGAACACTGAACTTCTCAGTGAAAGGCTGTGCAGAGGAAAGGGGGTGGGGGGGGGGGTTGTAAGGACAAGGCTGGTCATTGGAGGAGAGCAAGCTGAGTTCCCAGCATATCTAGAGAACTGATCATGCTGTGCTCTCACGCCTAGTGCGGTCAGCTTTTAATAGGGAAGCAGAGGGACTGGCAGGAACACCTAGGTTTTCACACTACGGAAACAATACAAAGAAAACAGGATACTTTTTCATGGAAGTACATGGTACAGCAGGCACATATCAGGGATATGACATGTTGGGTTTACATATTTGGTAAAATAAACACACACACACCTCTATAGATGGGCTTTAACCATTTTATAGCATTGAGAGCTGTATCCAGACCCACAATCTTCACCTCATCCAATCAGAGATGGTTTGTCCTCACTAAAGCATATACAAGACATTCTATTAAAGGTGGCAATGCCAAGCGAGTGACTCTGTGTGGTTACTATGTAGTAAGGCAGCCGCTCGCATGGAACCTGAGCCAGAACTCAGATCACAGATGTGTTTTAGCAGTAAACAGAGAGAGGTTTTTTAGTAAACAATCTGATGTCACCAGAGCACATTTATGCTCCAACGATGTTTTATTGATCAGAGAGAAGTGAAATTTCCCAGCACAAAGAAGCTACTGTTGGTAGTAAACTTTGCATGTAAAAAAAAAATATGTTGGCAAAGATGGATGTGAAATATTAGGAGTTTGAGTGAAATGTTTTATTAGCAAACTTTTGAAATGTCAACCAGAGGAAGAAACCTAATGTGTCAGGAAGCTTGCTTTAAATAGAAAGTTAACCAGATAATTTAAAGGTTTAGTTCATCTTTTCCAAAAAAAAAACTGCCTATGCAGGTAAGGGGTGTCTGTAGATAAAAATAAACTTCAGTTTTGCCCAGAGTTGAATAATGTCCTTGCTATAGGTGTGTAGGTGCCATTTACATACTCTTGACTGGAATAACCCCAGGATGTTGCTAGGGCATTGCCAAGTGAGGCCTAGTCATTACTGCTCACACACTGAGCTCACATCTACTGCATCAAGGGAGAGAGAGAGCATGTGAAGGCTTCTGTAGGTATTTAAATGGCCTACACCTATAGCAAGGGCATTACTGAACTTTATTTAGAACTGCCCGGTTTATTTTTATCTACAGATGCCGTATACCTGCAAGGCCATTTATATTTTTTTTGTAAAGGTTAACTAACCCTTTAACATTTATGTGGGCAAGGGCAGAACAATACCTGTTTGTTTACCAGAAATCCATTGTGGTCCTAATTTTCTGTGTGAGCTGACAACACGATGCCTCTATTGCACTGAAATCCCAAGCAGTATTGTCAGCTCTGCTAGTTCTCCCTTTTTGGACTACAAAACCCCTCTCCTGATGTGGGGAACCCCTGGAGGACTATCTTTTCCCATGCATTTATATGTAAGTGATTTAACAAAGTTATTCCAGTTTGAACTGACAACTATTACACTAAAATTTTAAGCAGTGTTGTTAACAGCTTTGTCCAGGTTTTCTTCTGCTGGATTACACAACACCTCCTAGTTACGTACATGAGCAGTCCAAAAAGGGAGAACTAGCAGAGCTGACAATACTGCTTGGGATTTCAGTGCAATAGAAAAATCATCAAAAGGTTTCCAGCTAGCTCATGAGCAACATGCTGATTTGAGAAACACTAGTTATACCTACGTGGCCCTGATTTTATGTAACTGGGCAGCTCCTGCTTGGCTTTATTATAGGAGGAAAAGTATAATGCTCCAGACTGGCATTGCTTACATACTCAAAAGCTGCCACAAGCAGCATGGAAAGTATCTGCAAGACGCATGGTTCTTCCTCTTCTTTTTTTTTTTTTTTTTTTATTTATGTGGGAATTGTAAATCATTCATTTATGTCTCATGTCCAGCTGCCTATCTGAACCAAGTGATTTATCAGTGTACATATTCAATATGAGATCACCTAAGGCACCTGCTGTCTTTGCCTGCTAGTCTCACCAGATTTAGAGTGAGATTTGCTGGAGAGGGAGCTGTACCTCAGGTACTGTAGTGCAAAGATCTCCTTGCTTCTGCTTCATTATTTGGATCTGTGCTTTGTGCACCTCTCCTGCTGCTTCTTGATCACTATCCCTTCGGTCACCCAGTCATCAGGGGGTCATCTCTGACATGAAAGCCCTGCTTTTACAAAGGTGGCAACTTTCACAAACTGAGAGAACAAGACATTGTAAGTCATTAATGAGGGACACAATCAGCTGTATGGAGACCACAGGCAAGTCCTTTGCCCTCTGACTGCAAATCCTTTGCAGTGACTGATCTTTGTTATTCTCTCCCCAATACAAAACTGGTCTGATTTGAAAACTGTAGAGTCTCTTAAAGTGATTGTAAACCCTTATGTATACCCAGTAAAGTGAATGTCCTCAGGTGATACACAGGGATTAAACAAATCCACCTACTTATGTTTTACTTGATTATCTGCAGTCTTCTCTTCTTCAATTCAAAGTGTTGAATTCATATAGAGAGTTCAGAAATTACACACTGCAGAGCTCAGTGAGGAGAGCTTTGAGAGCTGATTGGTGGGAAGGGACACACCCCCCTCCACACAGCACACAGGAACAGAGCTGAGGCTGTCAATCTGCTGGAGCTCCCTCCCCTGTCACCATTTTTCTCTTGGTGTCAGGAGAACTTGTCAGAAGTTACTCATGCAGATAGCAGAAGAACAAAGAAGCAGAGAGAAATGACACTTAGTGCTCTTAGTTGATTCAAGTGCACACTATAGAGAGATATGTTTTTGTTCATAGTTCATGTCTGAGGTTTACAACCATTGTAAGAACAAGAGAAATATGACCTCATGAAGGAACATGCATGCTCCGAATGCGTGCCACGCCTACTGCTGCTGTACCTGGAGCTGACATCACTCCCGCCTGCCCTGAGGATCTACACCAACCAGGAAGTACTTGGAACCACCAGTACAGCCAAGGACATTGCTTTGGAGACTTGCCTGCAGCGGGACCAGCCAGGAGTTGCACAGCGGTTGACACCAGTTTGACAAGCGTTCATTTGACTATTACTATTGTGAGTTGCCAATTTTGTGCAGATAAATTATTTGCTTATATTGCTGCACTTAGATGGCGCTGCTTTTCTCCCGTTTATATTACAACCACTGTAAGGCAGGCCATAGATGGTGCAAAATTCTTTCCTGGAACCACGGTTTGCTCACATACAATGACGAGCCATTGTGTTCTCACAGTGGGGGAAACCATCTCCGACAGAAAAAGACAGTGATTATTGCTAGCAGCAATAAAAGCCGCTAGCGATATTTGCATGTAAAATCCGGCAAGCTGGTTGTACCCAAGTTAATCGATCAGAGGCTCCTGAGGTTGCGCGGTCACCTGAATGGCATTGAGCACAGCATTACTACCTGAGGTCCAGCCGCCAATCCACGTGGGATGGAGGCTTGACGTGTGGTTTCTTGCAATCTGAGTGCTGCGGCTGATCCCTGGAGTTATGGATGAAGAGGATCCCCTATGTGTATTGAAGGAGAGAGATTAATCCTGAAGGGGTATTTACAACAAAGCACTTGTTGCTGTTCTATTTGATTAGACAGCATTGGGTTGCAGTAAGCCTGTTTGGAGGACACACACACTGGCATTGTGCTGGATTTGGTGAAGGAGTTTCACATCTGATTATTGTTTTTACAACGCTTCACTGGGGACGTTTCACAAGATTCACTATTACATTATTGATATCCCGTGGATTTATGGACACTTAGTTTGTTATTCATCATTAGTGCAGCAATCTTGAATTTATGATCAATTAATCAACTTGAGTACATTCAGCCTGCCCATACAGGATTCGGATCTCAGTCAGTTCCTGCTGAACAGGCTGAGATTTAAACCGTCTGTGGCTGGCTTAACTGTCATAAGCAGTGATGCTAATCACATTTCACAGGTGCCCACTAGAGGGAGGTTTTGTGTACATGAAATACTACAATTTAAAAAATGGTGCAAAGAAAAAAAAAAAAAACGCACACACACACATATATGTTGTTCCAAGTAAAAATTTAATTGAGACAAATGTTAAAATAACTTTAAATGTGTTTAAATTGAATAAATATATACAAGAAGGATGTGATATTGCAGATTACACATCTGAGTGAAAAACTGATGTTTCCCACCTAGTAATAAAATAAAAAAATCTGAAGACTGTGTACAAATATTTACTATAATAATAACCCTAAAACCACTGAAACATGGGTCCCTGAGCCTGTGGGAGTCACTGGTCTATAAACTCACAATGACATAAGCAAAATGATGAAAACGGTCATGACACGCTTAATGAAAAATAAATAGAATCTCACAACTTGTGAAAATACAGACGTAGAGGGTGTAAAGGGGAAATGACATCAGACGGGGAGTTTTGTTTTC